TCTTTCACAGCTGTGAGCTGTGCTGCCTGCGGTGAGGAGAAGGGTGGGTCAAGAACTCGCTTAGATGCCCTGGCTGGTGTCTCACTAGGTTGCATGCCTCCCGGGTCCATTGCTCTGAGCCCAGCACAGCTCCAGGACTTGTTTAGGAGCTGCAGTCCTTGTGGCTTACGCTGCCTTTCAAGTTTATTTAGCACCCCAGAGTCCTTTAGCCTGTGGAAGCAAGGCTTGCTCAAACTCAAGTTGTGACTGCTGGAATGGGTGATTCCCCTCTGGCTAGTGCTGGTCGAAGTTCTCCCTCGATGGGTGTCAGCTGAGTTCTGCCCTGTATTACTTTCTGCTCTGATAGGGAAGCATTGAGTGCCAGTGCAAAGTTCCACAATTGCTGTGCCCCCCGCCCCCGCAAGAGCACAGATTGTCTCTTGGCACCAATCTCTTGGCCAGGAGATTGGGGAGGGGTGGTGTTGGCAATCTGAGACCATCTTTCCTACCCTCTTCAGTGTCTTTTTCAGCGATAGGAAGTTAAAACCGGGTACTTTGCTCACCTGATTACAGTGCTTTGTAATACAGATAGTTGTTAAATTGGTGTCCCCACATGGAGGATGATCAGTGGAGGCTTCCAATCAGCCATCTTGCTCTGTCCCCACCACTTGGTTCATGTATTCAAGGGAAAGCAGGTGAGAGGATCTGATGCCATCTTCCTTTCAAAGCTGAACATACTGACTATCAAACTTAAGTTTGTAAACGGGTGCTTTGAGCCCTGATCATGTGGCTTGCTTTTCATAGCCACGAAGGCACTTTGACTTCCTAGCGATGGTTCTTCTACCATGTGTATGCGTCATATCCATTCACACTCCTGAGTTTAAGTGGCCCTTCTGCCTCAGCATCCAGAGTAACTAGTAGTACAAGTGTGAACCACCATGCCTGAATCATTCTTTTTTTTTTTTGTCTTAAATTTTTTTGTAGAAACAGGTTCTCATTATGTTGCCTACGCTGGTCTTGAACTCCAGGGCTCAAGTGATCCTTCTGCCTCAGTCTCCCAAAGCACTAGGATTACAGGGGTGTGGCACTGGGCCTGGCCTAAGGGGACCTTTGATTAATGCTTGGCTTGCATTGAAGTGGGATGTAAGTGAAAAATAAACTTTTATTTTGTTAGGCCATTGAGATGGTGAGGTTTTTACAACATTTTAGCCTAGCCTGAGTCATAAGATTTGTTACAGGAGTTGAAGGTTGACTGTCCTCACAGCCTGACAATCTGCTGTGCTCATCTCCCCAGGAAAGAGAGCATACCTCCATGGCTGCTGGCACTCACCTTCCTGAAGAAAGCCTGGCTGGGCAAGGCAAGATTTGGGTTTTAGGCTTCTTTTTTTCTCTGCTTTCTTGGCTGATATTTTAATTGACAGAGTTGTCTTTATCTATATCAGTGCCTCTAGGGAGACAATGATGTCTTATTCACTACACAGAGAGATTCTTCCTAACCCGAGCTTAGGGTTAGGAAGATGACAAAATATGACAAACTTGGGGAAAAGGTTATGACTCTGGAAGGCATGATTAAAGGGTAATTTTCTTAATTTACAAAAGGATCTCATAAATCAACAAGAAAAATATAGATAAGTTGATTCAAATCAAAGGGGACAAAAGAAATACAAACAGTGGATTAGACTAATGAATCCTCAACCTCTGATACGGTTGGGATTTGTGTCCTTACTCAAATCTTATGTTCAATTGTCATCCTCAGTGTTGGAGTTGGGCCTGGTAGGAGGTGACTGGATCATGGGGCAGTTTCTCATGGTTTAATACCATTCCCCTTGGTGCTGTCATCACGAGAGAGAATTCTGGCTGTTTAAAAGCATATGGGACCTCCCCCGTCTCTCTGGGTCCTGCTCCTCCCTTTGCTCCGGCTTTGCTTTCTACCATGAGTGAAAGCTCCCTGAGGTCTCCCAGAAGCAGAATCCACCATTCTTCCTGCACAACCTGCAGCTCCATGAGCCAATTATATCTTTTCTCTTTACAAATAACTTAGTTTCATTATAGCGGTGCGAGGACGGACTAATACAACCCCATCATTTTGCACATGAGGACTTGGCGACATGGAAAGTTCAAGTTACCCATGTATCTAGGTAACGATTTCCTCTTTGATGTCCACAGATACCTCCCACTCCCTGTACACGACAGGCTCATCAGTTTTTTCCCCAGACTGTCTTCTTCCATTGAATTCTTAATCTCTGAGAATGGTACCCCCCACCCCACCCCAGACTTTGATGCCACAGAGCTGGGAGGCCCGTGGGCTCCTCCTCTCCCTCTGGTTCAGTGTTCTGTCATCACTACCTCTTGTTAATTCTGTCCCCTGACCATCTCCCCTAACCACATCTCTCCTAACACCCATCCTTGGTGTTCTCCGAACAGCCAGAGTGGCCTTCCTAGCCCCCAAATCTAATCACGCCACACTGCTGTTCAGAATTCTGAGGTGTCTTCACATTCAGTAGAGGTAATACGCCTGTTGATCTGACCTCTGCCCACCTGTCCTGGCTCAGCTCCCACCACCTGCTGCATGACAGGTACATCCGAATACAGCTGGATTGCTGGTGGTTGCCCAAACCTGCCACACTCTCTTGTTCCTTCCACTTTTTCAGGCTATTGCACGTGCTGTTCTGTTTGCCCAGAATCCTCTCCTCTACCCATCTCCAAACCCCTCCTCATGTTCAAGTTTCAGCGCCAAAGCTCCCTCTTCTGAAAACAGCACTATTCTGAGACTCAGCTGCTCTTTCGCCTCGCTTCCTCTGCTTCTTAACCTGGCTTCTCCTCTGGCATTATCTTCTAGACTTGCAGGGAAGGTGTCAGTCTTCTGGGGAGTCGGTGAACTGGATCAAAGGGCAGCTTCTTCTAAATGTTAAATTCCCAGCGCCAGTCTAGGACAAAGCCTGGTGAATGATTAATAACTATGTGGTGAAGGAAACAGACGATTAATCAAGAAGACATTTGCCCCGTCCTGGAGCTCACCTAGAGTCAGGCGATGATGGCTTTACAAGCCCCGCACACTGACAGCAGGCTCATGGGCAGGAAGGTCTCTGACCTTCCTCTGGAGCAAAGAGAGTCAGCTCCAAGTGTACGCACATCACATTCACCACACCATGCTCAAAAAACAAACGCCTTGGTCTCAGCTGCCAAGCATGATGTAAATGTATGCGGACTGAGGGACTAACTCTGCTGGCCTGAGGTTTTTCTCTGGGTGGGGAGAGATTCAGGCTGTTTTGTCTTTCACTTTTCACAAGGAACAGCCGAAGGGAGCCTGGCTCCTCCGGTTCTCCATCCCTCCCAGAGTCTCTTCCCACACCCTGGAGTGCACCTCTTCCCCCGGGGAGGCGGCGGGGGGGCGGGGGGGGGGGGTCAGGCCAGATTTGGGAGGTGGCCCACTGGTTGGCCTCCTTACACTTTCCTAGGACTGTGCCACAGTTTATGTGACAAACTTTTGAAAAAAACAGAACAACAACAAAATCATGAAAGACTTCAAACCTTAATTTGTCTAAGAAAATCCACTGTTAACCCAATAGCTTGCTTGAATGGAGCTGTTAAATGTCAACAAAGTGGAACATTAGTTAAGGCGTGAAAACAGATTTTACTAAGTACTTATAGCAGGAGAAAGGGCTGATCATTCTCATTCGTGCAGAGGAGACTGGGCGTTTTAAAGGATGAAGGAGCGAGTAGGGCAGGGAAGCTAGAGGGGGCTCAAGTGAAAAATCACGAAGGGGTGGTCAGTATGGATGCTAGCGGTTATGAAGCTGGAATTCTATCCTCCCACAGAGACCAGAGGACACAGAGACCTATCCTCCCCAAAGCAATGGCTTTCAGGTCCTTGAGAAAGACGCTTCTGAGTTGTAGGCGATACTCACACATCTTACAGCAGCAGAGAAAGGATTCACAGCTGTAAGGCCTTTAAACAAAATTCCCCAAAAAGGGGAGGTCAGGGGCCTGACCATCGGGTGTTGACTAGAGTAAACGGGAAATTCTCATGGCTGCCTTGAGCCTTCTCAGGAAGACATTTTACTGCGGTCGAGGTTAGGGGGCAGCGGAGGGTGGGGCACCTTGAGTCATGCTCCTATAAGCCACGCTGGAGTTCCTGGTCTTTGAGTGCAGAGGTTTAGGCCGAGTCTTCGTGTGCAGAAAGTCTTGCAGTTCTCGCAGCGGCCTGCCAGAAAAAGTCGTTCCCAAATGTTTGTGAGTTCTCCGTTCTGCACCCCACCTTCACGTTCTGGGGTGCTCTAGTCGAGCGACGAAGCGCGCAGCATTAGCAGAGAAGGGGACGGCTGAGTGTGGGCGCTGCTGCATTGAACTCAGCACAGAAAGTCACCACCAGAACAAAAGGATGCCAAATTGCAGGGTTTATTGCCGGCGACCACGGAGGACTCACTTCTCTCCAACCCGTGGCAGACAAAGAAGAGTGACAAGACCTTTTTATACCCACAAAACCACTTTGGGAGTGGGGTTGAGGAGCGGAGATGGGAATGAAAGCTGTCAATCACCTCCTAGGCTGAGACGAGGGTGAGGGGGCTCCAGATATTCCAAGGGCCAGGGGACTTCTGTCATTCCAATTGCCACTTAAGTGGTTTACAGAGGTCAAGATAAACATTAGTTTATACATTATTTGGACAGGTGGGGGTCCACATAATTTTAGGTTACTTGGCGCCAGGATGGAATTATCTGGGGTGCTTACTTTGGTAAACAGAGGCCAGCAATTCTGGCAGTTACAGATAAGAGAAAGTCTGCAGCTTGTCCTCTCTTTGCATTTTGCAAGGTCATCTTAGTAGTTTACAGAAGCCGTGGCTAGCAGTCATTGTGAGGAGAATGGAAACAGTTTTCCCATTTTAGATGGCATTGTACTGGTTCTCATTCGAGGCCAGCTGTATCACAGGCGCGCACGGTCGTGTGGCACGCCGTGTAGGGCGGGGGCGAGGAGGGGTAAAGCGACGTGATCACCCCAGGGGCCGCCCACTTAGCTCGCAGGCTTTGGGGTCCCCGGCCGCTCTCTGCCCGTCTCCCCCGTTACCGCCTGGCTTTGTCGCCGCTTTAAGGCATTCCCGCTCTCGGCGGAACCGCCCCTTCCTCTCGGTGGCGAAAGGGGTGACACAGCCGGAGGTTGGGCCAACGTTGACTCCTCCCGCCCGCGGGGATCCTTCAGGGCCTCCTCGGCCTCCCGGGCTCCGGTAGCTGCCGGGTCTGTGAGCAGTTCCGCGGCCGCGCTCGCTCTGCCACGGGCGCCTCCACCTCCTCCATGCCGGTCAGCCTCGGCTTCCTGGCGCAGCGCCCGCCCGGGTGGCTCGGGGTCGCCGCGCTGGGACTGGCCGCCGTGGTGCTGGGGGCTGTCGCCTGGCGCCGCGCAGGGCCCAGGCGGCGCCGGCGGCTGCAGCAGGTGGGCACCGTGGCGAAGCTCTGGATCTACCCGGTGAAGTCCTGCAAGGGGGTGGCGGTGAGCGAGGCGGAGTGCACGGCCCTGGGGCTGCGCAGCGGCGACCTGCGGGACAGGTACGGGGCGCGGGCGCGGGGCGGCGCGGAGCCTGCCCGGGGTGAGGACGGGGAGGGAGGTGGGGCCCGACCTGTCCGCGGAGGAGCACGGAGTTTGCCACCTGGGTTTCTGGGCTGACTGTTGGACCGTTGGTTGTTTGGCTGGGAAGTTCAAGCTCATGTCACATTTATTTGTTGGAAAAGTATGTAGGGGCGATTCCTCGTCCTTCCCTAGATGAGAGATTCCTCGTCCTTCCCTAGATGAGAGATTCCTCGTCCTTCCCTAGATGAGAGATTCGTCCTCTGTAAGAGGAGGGAGTCTGACCTGTATCTTCAAGGCTCCTTAGCTCTAAAGTTTGTGATTCTATCCTAGTTTACAAAAGAAAAATAAATGCTATTGGCATTAGAAAGCAGCAAGAAAGACGCCAAGTGTGGTTCAAGGACATTGGCTCAGGCCTTGCTGGGCCTTGTTCCTCACATTTCTCCAATCCTGGGGGTGCCGGGGAGGCCTGATACATTTTGACAAAGGATGAGCAAGGGGAATGGGGACTCTGGGGCAGGGGCGGGATCCTTGCCGTTAAGGGAATAGTGTCCCCTCTTCTCCCACCGGAAAAGTTGTTCACAGCCTGGAACTTTGGGACTTTTGGGTCTGACACATAAACAGGTCATACTTAAGATTATGAAACTTTTTTTTTGGCGACAGAGTCACACTTTGTGGCCTAGGACGGAGTGCAGTGGCATGATCTTGGCTCACTGCAACCTCTACCTCCCAGGTTCAAGCAATTCTCCTGCCTCGGCCTCCAGAGTAGCTGGGACTAGAAGTGCATGCCACGACACCTGGCTAATTTTTGTATTTTTAGTAGAAACGAGGTTTCACCATGTTGACCAGACTGGTCTCGAACTCCTGACCTCAGGTGATCCACCTGTCTTGGCCTCCCAAAGTGCTGAGATTATGGGCATGAGCCACCACGCCTGGCCAAGATGTCTTCTTATCTGGTCGAGATGATGGTTTAGCTGTGGCCCTGTGTCCTAGGGGAGGGAGGTTTGCAAGTTTATCATACAAGGAGTCCTCTAGCAGAGAGCCACCTGCATCCCTGTGTTCACTCCAGGACCCGAGAACGCACTGTTTTCTGAAGACTGCTATGCCCTCTTAAAGAAATGTGGGCTATCAGTCGGACGAGGTGGCTCATGCCTGTAATCACAGCACTTTGGGAGGCTGAGGCAGGCAGATCACCTGAGGTGGGAGTTCAAGACCAGCCTGACCAACATGGAGAAACCCCGTTTCTACTAAAAATACAAAATTAGCTGAGTGTGGTGGTGCATGCCTGTAATCCCAGCTACTCGGGAGGCTGAGGCAGGAGAATCGCTTGAACCCTGGAGGTGGAGGTTGCAGTGAGCCGAGATTGCACCATTGCACTCCACTCCAGCCTGGGCAAAAAGAGCCAAACTTCAAAAAAAAAAAAAAGAAAAAGAAAAAGAAATGTGGGCTTCCATACTATTGGAAAACTTCAGTGAGTCTTAGGGAAGTGTTGTGTACACAGACCACGTGAATCATGGGAGGATTTTCAATCTCCCACCCCAGATTTTTAATCCTGGAAGCTTCTGAGATTCCCATCCAGGACTGCTGAAGCAGAATCACCAAGAGTGGGACCAACTTGCATAGAGTATTTAATTTCCCCCTGGTGATTTGGATGCTATAATTAAAGGGTTTTATCTGAGACCATGAAGAAGAAGAGATGTTTGGAGCTTATTCAAATCTGAAGCATAAGAAAAGCCTTCCTATTGCTGGAAAGACTATGGGAAGCTGGACACCTTCCAAAAACCTGGGAGAACCGAATTTTCACGATGCATGTCCAAAGAAAGGGTTTCAGGCCAGGTTGCATGGCTTCCCTCCTCACTTGAAGGACTGGGTACACAGACAGATCTCCAGTTCGAATCTGCACTTCCTCTGATCACCTGAAGAATGGTTTATTTCCCGCTTCTCTTTGTCACTGTTTTGCCATGATTGTTGCAACCGTGAAAGAAAATATGTGTCCTTGCTTTTTGCTCTCATTGGCATCCTAAAATAAATACAGCTCTATTTATTACCTTTTCCTTGTTTTAAACAGTAAATGCCTAGGATGGGGTGGGGTGATGTGAAGCCTGGGGCGGAGGGAGAGGCCATGAAATTAATGTTAATTCAGTGTTAAAATGCAGCAGATGCTGAATCCTGTTGCATAGATTAGCATATTTAAGCCTCATGACAATCTTGTGGGCTAGAAATTATTATCACCATTTTGCAAACAAGGAAACAGTATCAGAAAGAATGAGTATCTCATCCAAGGTCAGAAAACCAATGTATACTGTGGAGATTTGAACTTAGATCTGCGTGAGCACAGCATTTATGCTGTTTGTATGTAACTGGTGCATGATATAAAAGTCTAAGGATTGCATGAGAATCAGGAGACTCTGGGCACAAACTTTTACAAAGTTTTCTCATTTGCAAAAGAATGAGGTTGAACTTGATGGTCTCTAAAGCCCCATTTTAACTAAATTTTATTTATCAAAGGATAACAATTTCAAAGCAGGCTTGCTGGAGAGAACTCTATTTAATGGCTGCTGTTCTCTCAACGTGACAATATGATAGCACTACTACAAATGTTCCTGGAGTTCAGGGAAAGGCCTTATTTAATGAATTCCATTCTGAACCTGTGTTTTTGGAACTAACTGTTTGAAGAAGCTGGGATTGTTCTGGGTCTCAAATTTCTAGAGGAATGTTCAAAGCTCTTAGTATACTTGTGAACGAACACTTGGCTGGAGCACGCTAAGCATTGAGTGTTTAAAGTCCACCTAGCAGAATGCTGGCATTGGCTGCCTGGTGCCGTAGGGCGTGCTTGTCCTTGCTGACCTTGGAAATCTCAGCTCTCCGTAGCAGCCATATGTGGGCTGATCAGTTGTATCTGTCCAAACCCTTACTGAAGCCAGCCCTTTATTTCTTCTGCACAAATGACTGTTAGAGAAAGGAATCCCTTAAGTTTGTTACTATCCAGAGTGTTTTCCCTGCCCAATTCCTGCTGTTTTCTCATTCCACTCTCAGTGGTAGTGTTCATGCTTTCCCTCACTTTTCAGTTCTTCCTGCTCTCCAGGCCAGTTCGTAATTAAGAAATGAGATTTTTCTGTTGTTTCAGGCTCCACTTACCTGTTGCTGTTAGTCATTCAGAGCACTGTAGCTGTTTTGGGGAATCCAGGCTCCAGGCTTTCGGACTGATCCCTCTATCATGTACTCATGTTTTACCTGTAAATTCAAGGTGCCAGCTTTTTAGTGTTGTAGACTAGGTTGGGATAACTTGGTCATGATGAAATCCACACTCCAGACTGACCTCTTCTTTTAGATCTGGCAGAATAAAACTAGTTATTCATTCACTGGGCATCATTTTGTGCATGAGAGGTGAAAAATACTATTGCCCAGGTTGACAGGGAAATGAGATGGTTGGGGTATGTCACAAAAGGCAACCTTTTAACCTGTGATTGCTGTTTTTCTCCCGTCCCCAAATTGGACTCCTTGCAAGTTGCCACTTGCTTTTACAGTGACTGATGAGTGGGAAACCTCTAGTGACCACTTCCCGCTGTTAACCCCAGCAGTTTAACTCCTGTGTTATACAATAGGCTGGAGCCATGAGCCAGGCTGTGAGCCTCGGTGAAGGGCAACATTAGTAAGGGATGAATGGGAGATGAAAAGAGTCAGCCCAGGGAGGGGCTGTCAGAAGTGATGTGCAAACATGTTTGCCACTCCTGTTTGGACATGGCCCTGGTTTTGTGCAGATCTCAAAGGGAGTCTTGTCTGCGGATGGGGAATGCTGGGAGTTAAGAGTAAAGGCTTTGGTGACGTTAACCAAAGAACTCTGCACCAAGGGACAAGGCTGGAAATAGGGAATAGGGCCTAGCTCTATTCGGCATCTAAATCAGAGGATGCCTGCCTCTTTCATTTCATTTCATTCTCTGGGCAGACATCCTCTGATTTACAGAATCCAGCTCCAAGACAAGAGAGCCAGAGAACTGTGGGCATCTTCGACCAGGCAGGATGGCTCACATCTGTAATCTCAGTATTTTGAGAGGCTAAGGAGGAAGGATCAATTGAGCCAGGAGTTCCAGACCAGCTTGGGCAACACAGTAGGACTCCATCTCTACAAAAAAAATTAAAAAAAATGTGCTGGGCTTGTGGGTATGTGCCTGTAGTCCCAGCTACTCAGGAGACTGAGGCAGGAGGATTGCTTGAACCTGGCAGTTCAAGGCTGCTATGAGCTGAGATCATGCCCCTGCACTCTAGAGCCTGGGTAGTGGAGTGAGACCCTGTGTCTCTGTCTTTTGAAATTAATTAATTAAATATAAATCATCTAAATGAATGAATAACACACATATGCATATATACACTTAGAAAGGAAAAGATGGTCTCCTCAGAGGGATGGGGACTTGCTGCTGCCCTGTGTCACCAGCTTTTTGGAAGGAGGTAGGCAAGACACTTACTGAAACGCCTTTACATTGCCACACCATCATAATGCCAGTTAGCAGGGCACAGGCTGCCAGCCATTGTCTTCTGGTGTGGTGGCAGGGAAGGGACAGTTTAGCCAGCACCTGGAAAGGACTCTCCCGATAAGGAGGTTGCCTGCCAGGGTCAGGACAGGGGAGAGATGGAGCTCCCTACGATCTGATATTGGATGTCCTCCTGAGGTCTCCTCAGGTTTCCCTGCTGGCTCTGGTCACAGTTTGGAAAATCTCCCTGGGAGATTCTGGAAGGAGTTGTGCTTTTTATCCTCCTCACATTTGGAAAGCCTCTGGCTTTTAGGTGCTTTTTACTCAGCAGTGCCTGCAGTTCCTCACCCACTTGTCTGCAGATTCTATCTTCTTTCTAAAATAGTGATATTGAGCTGGGCACAGTGGATCACGCCTGCAATCCCAGTACTTTGGGAGGCCGAGGCGGGTAGATTACTTGAGGCCAGGAGTTTGAGACCAGCCCAGCCAATATAGCAAAACCCTAACACCACAAAATTTAAATATGAAATTAAAATACAAAAATTAGCCTGTTGTGGTGGTGCATGCCTCTAATCCTAGCTACCCAGGAGGCTGAGGCAAGAGAATCACTTGAACCCAGGAGGCGGAGGTTGCAGTGAGCTGAGATTGTGCCACTGTACTCCAGCCTGGCTGACAGAGCAAGACTGTCTCAAAATAAAAGAAACAAAACAACTAAATAAAACGAAACTAAAAAGTGATACTGAAATTTATTTTCCCTAGGAGTGGAAGATTTTTTCTTTTTGGCAACCCAGTCTTTTATGTGGCGCAGTCCCAACCTCTATGCTAGGCTGTAGGTAAAAGCCTAGCTAACTGGGCCTGGCCAGCTTTCCCTCACTCTTCAGCTCATCCGGTAGAAATACAAAGTGTGAAAACCAAGTCCAGCACAGTGGTGGGCTCTCTAGGAGATAAGTGGGATGCTTATCTAACATGTGACTTCAGTGAGTCTTTGTTCTCCATGTCAGAATGTGTACATGAAGAGGAAATGCCACTTGGGAGGTTTCCTGATGTAGGATCTGCACGCCACAGCAAGTTAAACAACAGAGGCCGGCCTGGGTCCTCTTGGAGGCAGCATTGCAAGACATTTGACTCAGGCTCCAATTCACTTGGCCAACCTCCTCTTGTTCTATAACAAAAGGACCTGAGCTGGGTGCGGTGGCTCACGCCTGTAATCCCAGCACTTTGGGAGGCCAAGGCGGGTGGATCACGAGGTCAAGAGATCAAGACCATCTTGGTCAACATGGTGAAACCCCATCTCTACTAAAAATACAAAAAATTAGCTGGGCATGGTGGCGTGTGGCTGTAATCCCAGCTACTCGGGAGGCTGAGGCAGGAGAATTGCCTGAACCCAGGAGGCGGAGGTTGCAGTGAGTCGAGATCGCGCCATTGCACTCCAGCCTGGGTAACAAGAGCGAAACTCCGTCTCAAAAAAAAAAAAAGGACCTGAAAGTGATTTTACTGTTCCCAGGGCCACAGAGACATATTTGACAGACCTACAGAAGCTTCTAACTAAAGCAGAGCCCGCAGGCAAGTGGCAGGGTTGCCTCAGCAGTGAAGGAAAGTCTCTGAGCCAGGCTCATGTTCCGGTGTTTGAAACTGGAGATTTCCATACATTGGCCAGACTCTCTCCCAGAACTGTTTCTGCCAAATAAGCTCGTTTTGGGGTCACCAACTTTTAGACCCAAATCATTTGGCTGGACTGGAATAATGATCTAGAAAATAATTGTTGGGTCCCAAGTCAGGGCGGGTGGAGAGTTATGCAGAAGGAGAAAGCTGGAGGGAAGCTGCTGGGAGGACGGAAGAGGATTTTCTGAGTGGGCCCTGGTTTGTTTCTCTGCAGGTTTTGGCTGGTGATTAAGGAAGATGGGCACATGGTCACTGCCCGGCAGGAGCCTCGCCTCGTGCTGGTCTCCATCACTTACGAGAACAACCGCCTGATCTTCAGGGCTCCGGACGTGGACCAGCTGGTTTTGCCTACCAAGCAGCCTTCCTCAAACAAACTCTACGACTGCAGGTGTTCTGCTTGGGGGCATCCAGGGAAGTGCAACAGGCTTGATTTCCTTTCAGGCTCCTCCCTGCCTTCTGTCTTGCTCTAGTTTCTACAGTAGAGGATGGCGTTGGTAAAGGAAATATTGAAGAGAAGTGTAATTTGGGTTGGGATCAGGCATGAGTGGATGATTCAGGGTGTTGTTTTAAGGGTACCTGGGATTTGTTTCATTCAGGTATGGTTAGACATGCAGACCCAGAAATGACTGTCCCGAAAAAAGAAGACGTTTATACCAGCAGATTCCCTAGAAACTGGAGGCACGCCCTGCCGCAGAAGGCCAGGTGGGGAAGCACCAGCATGGGTCAGGAGGCAGAGGGAGCGGGGAAAATGTGGGCAAGGGCCTTTATTGTGCTTTCCACAGGAAAGGAGAAGCAGGGCAGGGGTGGCAGGATTAGGGATGGCTAGTTTGGATAATTTCAGCAGGCTCTGGGCCACATGTTGTCTGGTACTTGGACCTGGGGTTGACTAGGGCAGGGGACTAGTGGAACGGCATGTAAGCACTCGATAAAGGAGGCGACTGGGAGTGTGGGCTCTGCATGGGCCGGTGTTCCTGTTACAGGCACACTGGCAGGTCATCAGTCTATTATTTCCAGGAATTGGTCAGCCCTGGGAAAAGTAGTTTCCTTAGTGTCAACAAGGCTCCAAGATGTCAAAGCAATAAAAATGCAGAAAATTGATAGCAAGGTTACTACAAGTATAAAGGTGTACAGTGTGTTCGTCTTTAGGGGTTTTCTCCTTTCGTTAAAATCTTTATCCAGAATTGTCACCCCTCCAACTAGGAGTTAGTGGAGACTTCAGCAGCTGAATCTCAGGGCTGGGTGAGAAGGATGCTGGAGCTTCCAGAGCTTTTCGGGTTGACTCTGCAGCCTCTGAAGTGCATGACAGAGATGAAAGCACATTCCTTGGGTGTATGAGATTTCCACTTCTGGGCAAAGACACACCTCAGGCCTTGGCTTCCTTTCGGCCTGTGAGACTTCTGTTGGGTTGTTGAGTTCCATGGCTTGCCTGGGTCTTGTCCTTCCACATTAGGAGGACTTAGCTGCTTGGCGAGGGATGATCTGGACCCCTTGTCAAGCTTTTGGGACCTTGGACAACACTAACTTCCACACACCTTAAAACCTGAGCTTTTGAAAAAGTGTGTGGAAGTTGGTGTTGTCCGAGGTCCAGGGCTCAGAGAGCCTCAGAGTTGCTCCCTCAACTCTCATCTCTTGCTTTTTCAAGCAAAGTGTCTAAGCTGAAATCCACCACTCATGGTTCCCAGTTTGCAAAAGTCTGAAGCCATAATTGCTGAATTCAGTATTTCCGGTAATTATTTAGCAAGCCCATGTGGGGGTTTCATTAATTCCACTTTGCAAATGAGGAAATGAGGCCTTAGATCACTGCCCTGAAAATGCAGAGCTGGGATTTGAACCCACATGCCTCCTAAGGCTTTTGCTTTTAACGTGTATGTGTAGGGAAAAGAAGAGCTTTTTCATAAATGACGGGTTTTGAGCCCATCAATTCATTGCAGAGGAAGAGTGTAGCCATCTCAGCTTGACTGGAAGACATGTGAAGCCCATAGGTAAATACATAACTGACGTGTGTCACATGAGTAATATGGGTGTTGGCTTGTAGACTCATTGTGTGGCCAACAGCGAGCAAGTTTTTCCCCCAAAGGCTCTTTACCAGCTAAACAGGCAGAAATCTAGGGACACACACACCTTCCTGGATGGAAAGAGGGAAAGAGAAAGCCCTTGTAGGGGAGTTGCCTAGGTCTGACAAAGACCCCAAGTGCAGCCTGTTCTTTCTTTCTTTATTTTTTGAGACAGAGTTTTGCTCTTGTCACCAGGCTGGAGTGCAACGGTACAATCCCAGCTCACTGCAACCTCCGCCTCCCAGGTTCAAACGATTCTCCTGCCCCAGCTTCCTGAGTAGCTGGGATTACAGGCATGCACCATCACGCCCAGCTAATTTTGTATTTTTAGTAGAGATGGGGTTTCACCACCTTGGCCAGGCTGATTTCGAACTCCTGACCTCAGGTGATCCACCTGCTTCTGCCTCCCAAAGTGCTGGGGTTACAGGTGTGAGCCACCGCACCCAGCCTGCAGCCTCTTCCTATGTCATTCTGTTCCACGCATCAAGCGTAGATCTGGATGCAGTGGGAATAGAGAGCTTGGTGCCCTGGCAGTTTGGTGACAATGACCGAGACCTGTGTATTTGGATTGACACAGATGCAATCAGCACACTGCCCTCTTCAGCAGGTTAGACATGCTGTACCTAGTTCAGCCTGTATTTATCAGCTATTTTTAATGGATTGGTTGCCAAGGGAACTGCTAAAAACTGAAGAAATGATATAAATTAGTGTGTTTAGTTAGTGCCAGCTGCTGTGACAAAACACATAGTCTGGGTGGCTTAAACAGCAGACATTTATTTCTCATAGTTTGGGAGGATAGGAATTCCAAGATCAAGGTGCTGGTGGATTGGTGAGGTCCCTTTTCAGGATTGTAGGTGGCCACCTCTCATATGTCTTCACATGGCCTTTCCTGGTGCCTGCATGAAGAGAGAGAGCGTCTGTGTGGTTCTACCTCTTCTCATAAGGGGACCAATCCCAGCATGAGGGCTCCACCTCATCAAGACCTAATTACCTCCCAAAGACCCGACATTGGGGGTGAGGGTGTCAACACAGGAATTTTGGAGAGACACAAACATTTAACCCCTAACAGATGGTGAGTGACAGAGCGATTACCACAGCCAGCCCATCAGAGCTCAAAATCAAATAACATAAACCAACAACTTCAAGTTAGAAAAAAGAAAAAGAAGTCCCTCAACAGCCATTTGAACAAGGCTGAAGTGTCATGAACTTTATAGTATTCTATACTTATTTTTGAATCAGCTTTCTCTGTTCACCTTGTGTGGTGTTAATTTTTTTTAGACTAACTATAGACTGGTATAGATTTTTTATTATTGCAAGGTTTTATGAATCATTATTATCTTTTTTTTTTTTTTTTGAGATGGAGTTTTGCTTTTATTGCCCAGGCTGGAGTGCAATGGTGCCATCTCAGCTCCAGCCTGGGCAACTGCAATCTCTGCTTCCTGAGTTCAAGCCATTTTCTTGCCTTAGCTTCCTGAGTAGCTGGGATTACAGGCATGTACCACTATACCCAGCTAATTTTTGTATTTTAGTAGAGATGGGGTTTTGCCATGTTGGCCAGGCTGGTCTTGAACTTCTGCCTGCCTTGGCCTCACGAAGTGCTGGGATTACAGGCATGAGTCACTGCACCTGGCCTGATTATTGCCTTAAAAGGTGCAGCTAATGTTTTAAAGTAGGGGAAAATAAGAAATGACTTCAACCCTACATTGAATTTATGGCTCAATTTAGAGAAAATTGATGTGAAAATATGTGTGCGTGTGCATCTGTGTGTGTTTAAATAAAGCACTTGCAAGAGAACCTGGTACACAGTAGGTACATAATTAGATATTAGTTCTTAAATAGCTATTATCTTTATTGTATTAATCTACCCTATCTTTGAATATTATTTTTCTCCACTTAATTGTATCTTATTTGATCTCTTTAATAAAGTTTTATAATTTTATCTATAATGAAATTTTACATGTTTTGTTAGATTTAGTCCTAAACATTTACTCTTCTTCCACCATTACATGGCAACTCTTAAAATCACTTTTTTGGTTTGCTGTGTAAGATTGGAATTATTTATTCTTTAAGTATTGGTAGAATTTGCCAGTCTTTGTAAGAGTCTATTCAAGTTTTTAGGCCCTCTTCCCTAATTTTTAGTGAGTTATTTTTGCTTTGTGAGTTAGTAGATTGCTTAATCATGACGTTTTATTGGATGCACAGAGTGAGGGTCGGGTTTTTCTGCGGCATGTTCTGATGAGACATTTTGTTTTAAAATGTGGAAGAGAGTGGATTCTGCAGAAAATTCTGCAAGATTTGGAGAAGACGGAATGGCAGAGGGAAAGCTACTGTCAGCTGCAGGGATGGAAGACAGGCCTGGTGGAGGGATCCTTTCATGGGTGGGAAGAGGCCCTGGTCAGTCAGTGTTCCCTTGCCCTGTTGAGGGCTTTCTACTTTTCAGAGTGCCACCCATAAGCTTCCTTGGGCGGAGAACGCTGTGGGTGGCATGAGTGCACTTACGTACCAGTGCTGCTCTGAGGGGATGAGGGAAGAGTTCCATCCAGGAGCAGATTCTTAGGGAACTGCCGAACAGCGAGATGGAATCAGTTTTAGGGGAAAGGCAGAAGGCCAGGAGACGATCAGAGATGTCCACAGAGCCAAGAGTTAATCAGAGGTGAAACAGTGACTTCAAGAAGGAGGTTTAGAGAGAAAGAAAAGGCTCAGTAACTGTGAAAGGAACAGCACTGAGATCTGGCAGTAGATGGGAGAGGAGGCGAGAGGGTAGAGTCTCTACCCTCAGACCAGGATTGTGAGCTGTAGGGTACACGGGTTCATCTAAGTGGGAGCACTTCAGGTGTCCACACTGGATTCCTCAGGAGTCCTCCTCGCAGTGGTGTGAGCCTTCCTGTGGGAGTGGCAAGCCCTTCCCATGGTAGATGAGGGTAGGGGAATCAATTTCCGATCCTCTGAATCATATCGATAATCAGCAAGTTCTCCTGTCCCACCATAAGCCTTTCCTCTTTGTACAGAGGAAAGGCTTTTATCTGCCCACCCCACATCTTACTAGGGGCATTACCCTTGGAGGGAAAAACATACAGGGTCCGAAACAATGCAAAATGCTAGGCTGGATAAAGAGGGTGGCGTTAATGACGGGGAAATCTGCTGTTCAAGTCAGTGGTAAAAACTCATTGTCTTACATTAAATTGAAGGGGCCTCCAATCAAATTCTTGCTGATAAATAATTAAAAGTACTTATGGATGACAAATCACTATGTAACAAATATTGCCTAGAGGTTCAAAGAATAAGTGAAATTACTAAAACGCAACTTCCGTTTCTATTTATTTGTGTGAAAAAATTCTGCAGGGTTTATTTAAAAGAAAGGAATAAAATTGATACTGAACCTTGTCTTATTCTGGCAATATATAAGATTCATTCAGAGTTTTATGGATACTCTATAGGGTTCATTAAGCATTTAATTTCAAATAAAATCTCATTTTTTATGTTCAGTAATTATTAATCTATATAGCATAGCTATTTTGTTATGGCCAATTGCATACAAATCATAACTGTAATAACTCAGTCCTGAAAACATTTCTTCACACTTGAAAGCTTAAGAAAAAAAAAAAAAAACAAATTTAATTGATTCAAAAGAAATACAGTAAGTGATCAATAGGATAAAAGCCGGGTGTGGTAGCTCACGCCTGTAATCTTAGCACTTTGGGAGGCCACGGTGGGCAGATCACCTTAAATTGGGAGTTTGAGACCACCCTGACCAACAAGGAGAAGTCCTGTCTCTACTAAAAATACAAAATTAGCTGCATGTGGTGGTGCATGCCTGTAATCCCAGCGACTCAGGAGGCTGAGGCAGGAGAATCACTTGAACCAGGGAGGTGGAGGTTGCAGTGAGCCGAAATCATGCCATTGCACTCCAGCCTGGGCAGCAAGAGTGAAACTCTGTCTCAGTAAATATATGTATATCTAATTTATATTATATATATTAACCATTTAAACATTTTTATATTATTCTTTTTATTTGCGAACATGAATATTATTTTACTTGTGTAATTTTAACCTAATATGTATTATATATTTTATTTATTTATATTTTTAATATATTGCATTTATTTTATATATATTTGTACATATTATTTATATATATTAGGATAAAATTACGTAAGTAAAATAATACACATATGTGTTCATGAATAAAAAGAATAGTAATACAAAAATGTTTAAATGGGTAATGGTGGATATCAAACCACATGGCATTTAGATCCCATTCCATACTTTTAAAAGCATAATCATTTTGTTTTAAATATCAATGTCTAGAATTCAATGGAAATTATCTTTCAGAACAAATTAAACTTATGATGAAAAAGTTGACCTGTCAACTTACAGTTCTGTGAAGCTTTTAAAAACTCCTCTAGTGGAATTAAAGCAAGAAAACCTTGAGGGCCGCCGTGTTATCTAAAGTTATCTGTTCCCACCAAGGGGCATAAGTAGGTACCATATTATTATCTCTAATTTACAACTGGAGACAGGTCAGAGGAGTTAAATGATTTGCTTATGGTCACGGAACTAGAGGATGGCAGAGTTCCAATTTGACCTGGGTCTGTTGGATTCTAAGCTCAGGGTGCATCGGCCACAGGGCAGCCCCTCTCCTCTTGTGAAAGTGCCCTAAATCCCTGCTACTCAAAGCATGGTTCATGGACCAGCAGCTTAGGCATCCAGAAGCTTGTTGGGAACACAGAATCTCAGACTCCAACTCAGACCTACTGAACCAGAGTCTACATTCAGACAAGATCCTGGAGGCTTTGTGCGTACATTAGGGTTTGGGTAGCTCTTCCCCAGCCACATTCTACTCCTATGTCCTGTGCTTCTGCCCAGCTTTGACCCAAGGACCACTTAACAGCCCTCTGGGATCGTCAGGTCCCAACAGTCCAGCTGTCCATCTTTGACACCATCCCTCAGTGTATTGATATAAGTAAGTAACCTGGTGTTCTTTTGTGACCTTTCCAGAATATTTGGCCTTGACATTAAAGGCAGAGACTGTGGCAATGAGGCAGCTCAGTGGTTCACCAACTTCTTGAAAACAGAAGCGTACAGATTGGTTCAATTTGAGACAAACATGAAGGGAAGAACATCAAAAAAACTTCTAGCTCCTATTAATTGGAATTACCAGGTGAGCTTACAGAGATTCACCTTCACTCCTACTAGTTACCCTTCTCTTTCTGGCTTCCTTCCTGGCCAGCAAAGAGCCTCTCTGGGAACCTCAGTTAAGAAAATGTGATAATGGCCTCGGTGAGTGATAATTAGGGCACAACCTGGTAGGCAGAGGTATTGGGGGATGGAGAAGAAAGTGGATACGGAAGATGCCTCAAGACTGGGATCTCTAGGGTGTATGGAGGATTAAATATGGGAGATATTGTGCAGCGGGGAGCCAGGGGTGACTGCCAGGCAGATGAGATGAAAGAGAAAACTGGTTGGAGAAACAAAAGTGAGAAGTTTGTTTGGGACTAAATCCAAGTTTCCTGGAATTACAGAAGCGGACTTAGTTCTGACCCTCCCGTCACAATCTATGAGGTGTGCTTATTTCAGGGGCTGGCAAGCTGCCTCCCCTAAGGAAAACTGCCCTCTGGGCCAAAGACCAAAGTCTTTGATTCTGCCATGAGTTAACGCTTAAAATACAAAGACCTCAGGGAGTTTCTCTCCATAGCCCCTAATTTACAAGCTCCTTGAGGGCAGGGTTTTTTATCTGCTTTCTTTACTGTGGTTTCCTACCAGAACAGTGCCTGGTAGGTGTTCAATCAATGCCTGTCGAGCGAATGGTGTTGTTGAGGAAATTATTACTGGAGTATAGCTGATTGGCAGCAGGACCCCGCTGTTTGAGGATGATGTGGAAAGGGGTCACTGCTGGAGTGGGAGTGGGGACCCAGGAAGAGGAAGCCTGGTGGGTGATATTGGCCCAGAGCCGGCCCTGGCTGCAGCCCTGTCCCTGTGTATGGGTGGGAACTGCTTCAGCTCCTGGCCACTTGCAAGCCCGAAGTCTCTCCTTCCCAAACACTGCTCCCCTCTTCGGCACTGAAGTGTGGGTTGGCTTCTGGACGTTACTTAGCTTTGCAGTTGGTCTAAGCCATTTTGTGGAGTGGTGGGGACCTGACTTTCTTGTGTTCTTGGCAAGGTGGCTTACCCAGACTACAGTCCCCTCCTGGTCATGACGGATGCCTCGCTGGTAGATTTGAATACCAGGATGGAGAAAAAAGTAAAAATGGAGAATTTCAGGCCAAATATCGTGGTGACGGGCTGCGATGCTTTTGAAGAGGTAAGCGACCCACAGCTTTTGTGCATTGTGCTCAGATGTGCTGCTCGCGGTGCTAAGGGAACTCTGCTCTAGCCAGCGCCAACTCAGATCCACCAAGGTCAATAGCAGGGAAACGGCTTCCTTAAATGCACCTTAACCTTGTGGAGTCGTTCACTCATTGCTGCTGCCATCAACTCACTGGCCTCAGGGGGGCGTTGCTCTCACCCTTTAATGCTTGAGCCCCAATGCAAACCGTTAAAACTCGAAATTGTAGCAAATCTGAGGTTGGAATGTGTAATCACAGCTCAGAGATAGCCGAGGGAAGGAAGATCAAGAGAATCGCCATTTTCCCTTCTCCATCACTCAGCAGTGCTCTCGAAGATTTGAGACTTTTAGAAGCCCCATGCCCCAAGTGGAGGCCAAGAGGACACAGGCAGTCTGTCCTGGAGACATACCATGCTGTGGCCTGAGTTCTCTCCCAGGGCACCCACATGCCCTTTTGTGATTGACACCAGAAATGTCCCCCCTTTTCAAGGACATACCTTTGTGGTCTTAAGGGAAGACTGCATTAGAACCCAGTAGAAACCCTGAACTCTACACGAAATACGTATGGCTGCATACTGCTTGGTAATGAGAAGCATTAGCTGTCACATTAAGCCTGAGGGGTGACCTAAACTTTCTGAGCAGTGGGAGTAACAATGACGAATATCATTTATTGAGTGTTTACTGCGAGCTAGGCATTGAGCTAAATAATCACTTCAGAGAAATGACTTTATTTGATCTTTGCAATAGTCCTGTGACGTTCGTGTTAATGTCTCCTTTTTATAAGGAAAATGAAGCTCAGAGGTGTTGTACACTTTGCCTGGCAGAGAAGTGGTGGTGCTGGTATTGGAACACATGACTTGTAACTCCAGCATCTGCAGAGCTGGGGAGACAGTTCCAATTTAGAGATCCAAAGTCGTTCACTGTGGGAGGAGAGGCTCTTAAACACCCTTTCAATTCTTTGCTTCCCTGAATGACTGCACTTCCTTTTGTGTGAGTAAAATATGCCCTATTTTTTTTTTTTTGTGATGAAGCCTCGCTGTATCACCCAGGCTGGAGTGCAGTGGCGCAATCTGGGCTCACTACAACCGCCGCCTCCTGGGTTCATGTGATTCTCCTGCCTCAGCCTCCGGAGTAGATGGGACTACAGGCACGCACCACCACACTTGGCTAATTTTTATATTTTCAGTAGAGGTAGGATTTCTCCATGTTGGCCAGGCCATTCTCGAATTCCTGACCTCTGGTGAGCTACCTGCCTCAGCCTCCCAAAGTGCTCAGATTATAGGCATGAGCCACTGTGCCCGGCCCCTAGTTTGTTGATAAACATTGTTCGTTAGGATAAAACTTTGCACAGAGCCTAGTATAAATTATCATACATGTAGGCACTTCATATTATTTGATAATTTGAAAAATAGCAGCAAGGCTCAGTGGCTCATGCCCGTAGTCCCAGCACTTTTGGAGGCTGAGGCAGGAGGATTGCTTGAGCTCAGGAGTTTGAGACCAGCCTGGATAACATGGCAAAACCCCAACTCTGTTAAAAAAAAAATATATATAAAAATTTGCCAGCTATGGTGGTGCATGCCTGTAGTCCCAGCTACTTGGGAGGCTGAGGTGGGAGGATGGTTTGAGCCTGGGAGGCAGAGATTGTGCCACTGTACTCCAGCCTGGGTGACAGAGAGAGACCCTGTCTCATTAAAAAAAAAAAAGAAAAGAGAAATAGCAATTGATACAGAAGTTGTCTACTTGATGATGTTATCTTGTCATTTGTGATCTATTTGAATTCCTCTGTGCCTTTGTTACTTTTTAAAAACCAGTCATCTGTTGTGGGCCAGGCATGGTGTGTAGGAACCTGGACACAGATGAAAAGATCTAGATCCCGCCCTTTAGAATGTTTCACTGTGAGAGACATGGCCAGGGAACAACGAAGCCCAGCATCAGAAGTGCTTTAATGTACACATTTAGAAGGTACCAGAGATGTGTAGAAGTAGAACTGCCTAAATCTGCCTGGAGAAGGGAAGCCTGGGCAGGGGAGGGGTCAGGTCCAGCTCCCGGGAAGCCTGGGCAGGGGAGGGGTCAGGTCCAGCTCCCGGGAAGCAATGCTGTTCATCATGTACTTGTGTGGACTGTGTACCAGGGGAGGGGTCAGGTCCAGCTCCTGGGAAGCCTGGGCAGGGAAGGGGTCAGGTCCAGCTCCCGGGAAGCCTGGGCAGGGGAGGGGTCAGGTCCAGCTCCCGGGAAGCCTGGGCAGGGGAGGGGTCAGGTCCAGCTCCTGGGAAGCCTGGGCAGGGGAGGGGTCAGGTCCAGCTCCCCAGAAGCCTGGGTAGGGGAGGGGTCAGGTCCAGCTCCCGGGAAGCAATGCTGTTCATCATGTACTTGTGTGGACTGTGTACCAGGGGAGGGGTCAGGTCCAGCTCCCGGGAAGCCTGGGCAGGGAAGGGGTCAGGTCCAGCTCCCGGGAAGCCTGGGCAGGGAAGGGGTCAGGTCCAGCTCCCGGGAAGCCTGGGCAGGGGAGGGGTCAGGTCCAGCTCCCGGGAAGCCTGGGCAGGGGAGGGGTCAGGTCCAGCTCCTGGGAAGCCTGGGCAGGGGAGGGGTCAGGTCCAGCTCCCGGGAAGCCTGGGCAGGGGAGGGGTCAGGTCCAGCTCCCGGGAAGCCTGGGCAGGGGAGGGGTCAGGTCCAGCTCCCGGGAAGCAATGCTGTTCATCATGTACTTGTGTGGACTGTGTACCAGGGTCAATGGAGGGTCATTATGGGTAAAGGGGACCGGTGGGTGGGAGGCCTAGAAGCATGAGAGGCCATGAATGAAAGGGTGCTTGGGAGTATTTTTGAATCACATGAGGGTCAAGGAGAAATGTCAGGGAAGCTGGACTGGAGCTGGCTAGAGGCCATCACATCAAGGAGTTTGGATTTTATACTATGGATATTGATGAGCTGGTAAAGATTCTGAGTAAGGAAGTAATTATGATTTGCATTCTTCCCACAAATATCTGCTGAACGCCTGTGCAGTGTGCCAGGCACATATTCTGGCAACTCTCTTGAACAATCACTGAAAGGCAGGGAAGCCTGAGACAGAAATATCAAGGCAAGGCCCAATCACAAGAGAGTCTTTTTTTTTTTCTTTTTTCTTTTTTGAGACAAGGTCTCACCCGTTACCCAGACTGGAATACAGTGGTGCGATCACAGCTCACTGCAGCCTTGAACTCCCCAGCTCAGGTGACCTTAGCCTCCCAATCTCCTGAGTAGCTGGGACTACAGGCGTATGCCATCATGCCTGGCTAAATTCTGTATTTTTTGTAGAGACAGGGTCTCCCTGTCTTAAACTCCAGGCTTGTCTTAAACTCCTGGACTCTGCCTGCCTTGACTTCCCAAAGTGCTGGGATTATAGCATGAGCCACCTCACGTAGCTAAGAGTCTTTTAAGTGCAGATTAGCAGGACTTACCTGAAACCTACATGAGCACTGTGACAAAGCCTGTACCTCTGTGCTGGCAGCATCATCCCAGGTGAATCTCCTGCCCACAGTGTCTGCAGAAGCACTGAGTTAGGGGAGTGCAGGGACCATGGGGGTCAGAGATGATCAGAGGTGACACGAGGGTGGGGTTGGGAGGGCCATGGAGAGTGCTAGAGAGGAAGAGGCTCCAGTGTGCTTAGGAGACTGGTTTCTTGAGGGAAGGAACTAGATTTTTCTCTCTAAGAATGAATCTAGACTTGGTAGGACCTGAAGTTTATACAATTTGGGGGACCTTTAGGAAAAAAAAAAAAGGTAACAAAAATAAAATTAGGTTAGGTTCAGGGACTTGAAAGGTTCTGTGTAAAGAAGGGGCCTGAGGCTCAAGCCTCACGGGCTTCCCAGTAAACCCGCCTGCTTCCCGGTTCTAGTTTCCCACGTTGTCTAGTAGGGTGCAAATGACATCGGATTCATTAAATGCTTGCTAAACACCAAATGAAGTGAATGCTCTGTGTTAAGAATGTATGTTACTAAAGCTTGTGGTGGAAATTAGTTCTTGGGTAGAAATTCGTCTGCGAAGCAGCCGTTCCTCCGCAGGAGTCCTGTCATTCATCCATGATTTTCTGAGAAACTTGCTTTTAGGGAACAAAATTTTTCTTGAGTTGTCTCCACTAAAGAACAGATTATTTTGGTATCAACTTTAAGATTTTGTGCCAAGAAAATAAGAAAAAAAGACACATTTGTCCTCGGCTGATACATTTTTGCTGTCCTGTAACTTGCCAACCCATAATTTTTGCTCTCCTGTGACTTGTCAAACTGAACCTAAGGCTAATGTAAATCTCATGTTGCTTTCCTAGGCGGTGAGAGCGGATTCTTCTTCTTTTTTTAAATAATAAACTGAAAATAAAAATACAAAAAAAAGGCCGGGTGTGGCCCAGAACTCTGGGAGGCCAAAGTGGGCGGGTCGTGTGAGTCGAGGAGTTTGAGGCCAGCTTGGGCAACCTGGTGAAACCCCATCTCTTAAATAAATAAATAAATAGTGAAAATAAGCTGTTAAATAAATCTGTGCTCCCAAGTCCATTTGTCATTTTATTCCTGCACAGTGATGGACTTACAGAAATAGAAATAAGGTAGATGCTCTAAGCTTGTTGGAACAGTCCTCTGGCCATCCACATTGGAAAAAAATCCTTCCTACTGCGAGGCCGAGGCGGGTGGATCACGAGGTCAAGAGATCGAGACCATCCTGGTCAAAATGGTGAAGCCCCGTCTCTACTAAAAATACAAAAAGTTAGCTGGGCATGGTGGCGCGTGTCTGTAATCCCAGCCACACAGGAGGCTGAGGCAGGAGAATTGCCTGAACCCAGGAGGCGGAGGTTGCGGTGAGCCGAGATTGCGCCATTGCACTCCAGCCTGGGTAACGAGGGAAACTCCGTCTCAAAAAAAAAAGAAAAAAAAAAATCCTTCCTACTAAATGATGCTAATGTTGCTGATTTATTCTTCCTTAAATCGGAAGCCCAGTAGTTACAGGGCTAATGC